AAGGTTTTTTTTAGGGTTTTTTTTGGGTTTGTTTTTTTTTTTTATTATTTAATTATTTTCCGACGGAATATTCCGGCGGAAACTTAATTTTCCGACGGATTTTAATTCTGTTGGAAAATTAATGTTTCGACGGAATATTCCGTCGGAAACTTCCGACGGATTTTATTTCCGTCAGAATACACATTTTTCGACGGATTTTTATTCCGTAGGAATTCCGTCGCAAATTTCCGCCGGAATATATAGCATTTCCGACGATTTTGTTTCCGTCGGAAGATTTCCATCGGAATCTGGCCTTTTTCTTGTTGTGAATGTAGAAGATTCTAATATTCAAATTTCAAAATTGTTAAATATGGTAGCTTCACAAAAAAAAAAAATGTCATCATCCTTGCATTTAGGCGGAAATTTTTTTATTAAGAGAGTGACATATGGACAGTGATGACATTAGCAACGTTTTGTTTTAGTAATAGTTAACAGATTCTAAATTTAATTCTTTTGCAAAATCAAACTTAAAATTGACATAATTATCATATGCATTTATTCTGAATAATAACCAAACTAAAATCCAATCAAGAAGGCCAACAATAATAACTCTTTAGCTTAAGCGTAATTATAACTTGAATAAAATAAAAAATTCTCCAACTATAATAACCAAACTAAAATCCAATCAAGAAGGCCAACAATAATAATTCTCTTTAGCTTAAGCGTAATTATAACTTGAATAAAATAAAAAATTCTCCAACTATAATAACCAAACCCGTTCAAATTCGCATAATACTTCTTACACTGTACGAATAAATTACCACGAAATAAATATGTTGATAGGATAATTTAAACTAAAAAGCTGATAATTCTACTTGAACAACAGTATTCCTATGCTCATGTTAAATCTAAATTTAATTATCGTCTCCTTAGTTTGCGACTATCACTATCATGAAAAGATTATACAGATTACATGTGAGTAAAAGATCGATTGGGTTTCTATCATAGTTTAAAGTCGAGTTTGTAGTTTTTTCAAACTTGTTTGTGTTCTTATTGGTATTGCTAGGGACCTATCGAGAATGACAGTTGTAGTTAACTCTACGTCAAGCATCCATTAGTTATGTAAAGGAACACCGGCCTTAATTTTGGGTAGGGATTTTTCGATTCATTGAGGAGTTTTTTGTCTACAAGTCCTAGACTCATGTCATAAACTTTTGAATTAAAAACAATTGTTATCAATTACCCAAAAGTATTTTGTCGCCCTTGCACGCATGAAAACATTGAGATGTACGTTCTAGGTTGTACAGCTTGTACTAGTATTACTGTATTAGCACTACTTACGTATGTTGTAAGATGCCGGCACTTCGTACATACTGTATTTGGTAAGCCTCATAGAGAATTTTATTATTAATAATAGCTCCATTTCACTATAGATACAACGTTTTAACTTTGTAAACTATTCATCGATTAATTTTACTTAATATTTACCCTTTATACGTAGTAATTTTTTAAAATTAAGATGTCAAATACCGAATAGATATGTTGCAATTATTTAAAAAAAGATAAAGTATACTTCAATACTTTTACTTGAGAATAATTGCTAGAATTTACTGTACAAGAAAAGCACATCAAGATTCAAGATATCCTATCAAGAATTTTTAAGTATCAATAACTAAGGTACCGCTTACCATATGCATGCACTTGGATTTGAATCACTTCAACTCCATTATTCTTCAAATGAATCAAATCTTAACTAAAAAGATAATTGGTTATTACAGACCATCTCCGATTTTAGTTGTTACGTTAGTATATTACTTGCTCAAAACACAATATTAACATGACAAGTTATTCCGGATAGAGAATTTCATACATACCATTCAAAACATCATATACTTGGACATATGTATAAATACATCTTTCACAAATTTACAATAATAATAAACTTGGACATATGTATAAATAAAAAATACATGTACGTAGAGGTCTATGAATTAGGGACTCATCTCTAATTAGGTTTACGGCAATTACGCCTAATTTCGCCGTTACTTCCGGTAAGAGGATTGATGTTTCCCATTCTAATCATGCTCTTAGCAAAGTCCTTAAAGAACTTACATTGATCCATTGCATACCTTTTAACATGAGATTCAGACTTCTTGTTTGCATTGTAAAGTGTCTGATCCGAGTGTAGTAAACCCTTCTTAAATAGTAAATTCTGGTAATATTTGACGTCGAAAGTATACTTAGTTTGGTAGTCTAAAGGCTGTAAAACATTGGTATTTCCAGTTAGAGGACATTTTTTCTGGAGATATTTAGCGAAGGCGGTGTTGATATCAGTATCATTGTGGATATGTGTCCGGAATGTTGCACATCTTGCTAATCCAACAGTGTGTCCGCCTTCACATACAATGCATGCAATAAGTATAAAGTTAAGTTATTTGAGTTAATCAACCAATAAGCGTTATTTTACTAAATACTAGTCATCGTTAAAAGTTATGCACAAATTTACTATAAAAAGACATTAATAAATAATAATGCATAGATATTATTGTTCTACGTCGTGACATATAATTGTCTTAGAGTCTAATCATGTTTGAATAAGAAAACTAAATTAAACAAGTGGTTATGCATTACGTGAAAAGAAGGGAGTGGAAATATATATAAATTGAGATGATGGGACTCTTTGAGTCTATTCATGTGTTTGTATAGTATAGGTGTTGACAAGGGACCAATTAACTAACAAAGGATGGAACAAAAAGTAAAGTTAAGAGAAGGAAGAGAAAACCACTTTGAAGATGTGTTGATTACTAAAGTAAAATATACAATAATTCTTTCATTTTGAATTATCTAGCTACTTGTATTATTTAACTAATTTTTCATTCCATTTATAAAAGACAATATGTAAAAGATCCATGCACCACTACATGTAGATTTTCAACATCAATTCTCTTATTGCATGTTTGCGTTAAGTGCTACGTATTAGTAAGTATCATTTTTTAAATTAAAACGAGTACATTATTACATTAAAAAAATCATTAATTAGAAATCGATGGAGTATATTAATTAATAAAATATTATCCTCAAAATGACTTGTATAATACTCTTCTGTTTTTATACTATTTACGCACTTTTTTTCCAAAAAAAAAAATGTTCATAATTTATACGTAAAGAAAAATATAGTCACAATAAAACCCATTTCTGATCTCGAAAAAAAGTGGAAAGAAAAATATAAAGTGAATTTCAAATTTAATTTGTGATAAACGAACGTATGAATGAAATAGGATAAAACGAATAGATAAAAAAAAATGTACCAGAGAGGACCACCATGTCCTTGAACGATAAACCAACGGCGGCAAAACTGGAAGTAAGATTACTAACATCAAATGTAGGTTGAGGAATAAAAACGTTTGCTGCACTTTGGTTTGCTGTGAGAGAATCTCTTCTTCCCAATCTCACTTTCCATGTTGGACCACCATACTACAATTTTCATTTCTTCTACTTAGCTCAATTATATGAAGAACAAGTTCGGGAAATAGTGGAGAATAAATTCGAAAAAACTTACATAAACAACTGCATCACGAGCAATAATAGCAAGGATATCAGCACAAGAGACAGCTCCAGGGCATGCCTTTTCCAACTTAGCCTTGATGTGGTCTACAACCTCAAATCCACGGGCTGAGTTATTATTAGGGGCAGCTGTTTTCTCACTTTTGAAAGTTGGAGTATCGTCTAGGAGGATTGATCCATCGCAACCCTAATTAGTTCATCAATGCATATATTATAAGTTAACACTACTTAAAACATCACTTCATAAAACTAGTATTAATTAAAAGACTACATTAATACGGATTTTAATGAGTACTTACATTGACAAAACAATCATGAAAATGCAATCGAAGAATTGAAGCTCCAACTCGAGCCTCTTTTCTTATAGCATCCTTAATCCCTTCCTTAACAATAACAAGAGCATTTGGGCAAGTAGAAGCGTAATAATTTGGTGAAAGTTTGCCTTCTACATTATTTAGAGTGAGGCAAAAAATAACAAAGAGTAGGAAGTAGAACTTGCCACACACCATTTTCACCAACTCACTATACTTAGCTTCGTGCCGACAATTGTTAATATATAAATTTGATGATTTGTTTAGATGAAGACTTCGTTCAGCCAATTTATTATGTGATGTGCCAAAACAATGGACAAAAATCCAATAATGTTGAACTATATAGTATATGATTGGTGTAATATAATTTACTCAATTCCTGAATAAAGTTAATAATATAGAGGGTCCATAAAAAACAGTGCTCGTGATATGCTAATCAAGTCATTTTCCAATACCTCTTTCCTAAGTTGGAACTTTGCTTGCTTTGGTTGCTTTAGAATATTTTCTTTATTTCTTTTCTTGATTTGTCAATTTTAATTTTGCTTTTCTAATTCTACTAATAGTAGCTAGCTTAGCTACTAGATTACAAAGTATCTCGATGAACATAAAAGTTTAATAAATGCTTAAGTGCAAATATAAATGTTTTTTAAACAAATTTTAGCTATAAGATTCTAGTTGTTTCATTAGAAGCGATTTTACAAAACTTCTCGAACTCAAACAAAAATTCTCATATTCCTAAAGAGAACGACAAAAACATTTATTACAATTTCGCATTCCTTGTAACAAACACTCTAACGGTGTTAGTGTTGGATCACTTAAATGACAACGATCCTCAATATTTGATCACTAACGTCGATTAAGTAAACATTAGCCATACATATAGACGAAGTTTCTAAAATTAACGAAGGTTGTTAGTTTTTCAATTTTTACCCTACATGCATGCAATTTGTTTGATTGTGGCCAGCAACCGGTAAGCTTTCATTTTCAGCGATAAAAAGAATTCATTAACAATTGTTATAAGGTGCTGGCAAGATGACCGCCATCAGAATAGTTCATTGTTTTAGCTTGATTTGATAGTTAGCTAATCAAATTTTGTGTATAATCTTGTTTGATTAGGGTCGAATATAATAAAGTAAAACACAACAATTATTGTAAATGAGAATTATTATTCTTATCAACCATGAATTACACTATATAAACCACATTAAAGTGATTAGACATTTAATATATACGCAAATTCAGAAATTTATATAAAATCATGAACTACGTACACTTAGGTAGGTATAGATATTAAAACGGTCATGCGTTAGCGTTAGTTTAATTTGGTTTACGACAATTACGCCGGATTTCTCCATTACTTCCGGTAAGTGGCTTGATATTCCCCATTCTAATCATGCTCTTACCAAAATCTTTAAAGAACACGCCTTGGTTCATCGCATACTTTTTAGTAAAACAATCAGCCTTATTTCCATTGTAAAGTTGTTGGTCCGAGTGAAGTAGCCCCTTCTTATCTAGTAGGTTTTGGTAATACTTGTCATCGAAACGAAACCTTGTTTGGTAGTCGAGGGGTTGCAACACGTTGTCACTTCCGTTTTGAGGACACTTTTGTTGTAGCGATTTGGCGAAGGTGGGATCTATATTGGTGTCGTTGTAAATGTGTGGCCGGAAACTTGTGCACCTAGCAAATCCAACAGTGTGTGCGCCTATCCAAAAAAACAAAGGTACGGAGTAATAAATAAAGTAACAACCACGTTAGTTCAAAAATTCAAGGTAACACTAACACACCACGTCCATCCACATGTAAGATGTAACCTCATGTCATCGTAAAAAAGTTGTCATTTTCAATAATTCATATTCAAAATATAACAGATTTTTTAATGAAAAAATTACGTTAGTTAAACATTTAAGGTAACACCACGTTCATTTAATAAGATAATCGTTATAATTTTACGTCACTAATAATGATAGTAAAAACCCATATATACTAGCTCATTTGTTAGCCAATACAGAGTAATAAATTGTGATATTGGTAACCAAATGGTTGTTATTATGCTAGAGATGAAACGACTTTGTCAATTATTTTCTTAAGGTAAAAAGATAATTCGAATAAAAAAGAACAGAGAAAGTATAAATCTTACCAGAGAGAACCACCATGTCTTTAAAAGATAAACCAACAGCGGCAAAGCTAGAAGTGAGGTTACTAAGATTGAACTTAGGTTGAGGGATAAAAGCATTGGCGGCACTTCTGTTAGCCGTAAAAGAATCTCTTCTTCCCAATCTCACCTTCCATGTAGGACCACCGTACTGCACTTTCCAATTTTCTCGTTAGCTCCATTATTTTGGTTTAAAAACAAACGCACATCTATATAAAATACGAAGTACAATGTTTTTTCACCGTAATAAAAAGATCAAATAATTATTACTCCTAGGTTTTTTCTTCCCATAATAATAAAAAACGTCCATAATGTACATGAACATTAACAACTATAATTCATTTTGATAAATTTTAAACAACAATTTTTTTCTTTTTTCCTTTTTTTTTTTTTTTTTTTTTTTTTTTTTTTTTGTAGGGAATGAAAGTAAGTTGGGAGGGAACAAAGAAACTACAACGTACATGAACAACTGCATCACGAGATGCAATAGCAAGAATATCAGCACAAGAAACAACTCCAGGACATGCTTTCTCTAAACTGGCCTTGATGTTGTCCACAACTCCAAACCCGCGAGCTGAGTTTTTATTTGGGTTAGCCGATTTCTCACTTTTGAAAGTTGAAGTATCATCCAGTAAAATTGAGCCATCGCAACCCTAGTTGATTAACGAAGTATAAACAAATGAACAATCACTTAACATAACTAGCATCATAATATTGCCTTACGTGGTACGACTTTTAAGTAAATACTTACATTAACAAAGCAATCATGAAAGTGTAACCGAAGTAAGGATGCTCCAACACGAGCCTCATTTTTAATAGCTTTCGCGATTTCTTGCTTAACTATACTAAGAGCTTTAGGACAAATAGAAGAGTAAAAATTTGGTGAAAGATGGCCATTTACGTTTAGAGAAAGACCAAAAAGAATAATCAATAACAAGTAGAGGTTGCCACAAGCCATTTTGGATAGTTTCAAATTCATACCGACAAATAGTAGTAGAAGCTCGCTACTTTATAAGCATCTTAACATGACTGTGTCAACTAATTAATGATGCATTATTTTTGTGAGTCATGAATTAGCAAATAAAGTTTAGTAAAGGTTTAAGAAACATTCATGTCACAATCAAGTCAGTGTGACTAGTCCATATTATGTTGCCACTTTTTTTAAGATAAGGAACATTGCTTGGCTTGGTAGTTTCGAAATCTTTTAATAAAGAAGATGTATAGTTAAGTTTCATACATTTTTAACATATTGCAAGGCAGTATATCTAAAACATTAGATAACCCACTTTTTGTACAACTTAAAAGATTCATACTAATCTCTTGTATCTCATTAGTTCAAATACTAATACATATGAATGAAGTTATTAATCTATATACTTAATCTTGCCTAACGTGAAATATAATTTGACTTAACAAATTCATAAGATAAATAATTATCAAATGTAGCGTCATTAGATTTGTATTATGCACTTTTTAAATATGATATTTTTCATAATTTTTTTTAGTTATGAAATTAAAAATACTAACCGATAAATAAGTGTAAATTAAAAGAAATGAAAGTTTTTAACCCCGCTTGTAATAATTGTCTTTGTCGTTTCACATAGATTAAAACAAAAAAAGGGCTAAATGTAGAATTGAAAACTTGATATTTGATTAGTGCTTAATTTGTGAAAGAATATGTTTCTAACTGTGTAAAGATACAAATCTAACCCTAAGTTATGGATAACTTCTATGATTTTAATTAATTAATTAATCTAATTGACGTTCACAATTTGAGATTATTTGAAATTAAATATAAAAATAATAAATAAAAAATAAATAAAATAAAAAAAAAACAAATAAATATGAGTATGGTTAATGTCACAAAGAGAGGAAAATAACTTAAATTAAAAAGAAACAATAAGAAGTATTAATTGACATTAATAAGAAACAAGTCCTCCAAAACACAAGCATTTATTAAATGAGCCCACAAAGTCTATGTAAGGAGAAAAGACCTACTTAAAATACAAGCATAGTACAACGTAGTAATTGGCTAATTGTCATCTCAAAATGGCTTTTCCTACAACCCGTGAATATAAACACGGATTTTCTTTCTCATTTCTACTAACTTTATACTCCGTACTCACTTCCAAGAGTTTATGGCGCATACTTCACAAGTCGTCACAAACAATGACGAAAACATGGCATTGTATTATTTGTATGCAACAACTAACCACTTCTGAATCCTATTCCACCAATATTCTTAAAATTAGTCAGTGATTGTAGAAATTTCTATCCGAGTTTTATAAACCAAAAAAAAAAAAAAAAATAGCAAGCAACAATCCAAAATTAAAGTTTGTTTGTAGAATTTTACAATCTAATTATCTATCCCAACATATTTAAGAATCGATCTCTCTAAATACATACTATATAAATCATAAAATTTCTTGTGCGAAAACAATATACACATGAAGGGTATGCTATATAGTTTAGCACGAGATAGGAGATGGGTATGCAATTCGCTATACGTTACTGATAGATTAGGCCAAAACATAACACGTTCATGTACTAACAATTCTCATTTTTTGCTTTGGGAGAAATTAGGTCATTACCGATAAATCAGTTTAATAGAGTTATGACTTTGTTCAACTAGCTTAGGGTCTTATTAAGACGCGTTTTCATGTCAAGGTTACATCAACATCCATGCCTATCACAACCCATACAAGAAGTCGTAAAAGGCAACAAATATTAGCTTAGGTACCGCGCCCACAACCTTGCCTATGAGCAGGCCTGAAAAAGTCCATCCGCTTCTTAGAGCAAGTACCTAATTAACCATGCAAAATTGACAAGGTCTTCCTTTGCAGTACGGCGAGGTCCTAAATGAAATAAATTTGTCTCGAGACATCTCATTTTCATCTTCATGTACTATAATCAATTGCTCATCTTATCTATAATGTAGACTTAACCTTTTTCAAGTCACTATGATCAAGGCTCAGTGTTAGTGTATTAATTCCGTATCTCATATAGTATTATTTCCTTAAACAAAAACTAACTACTTATTCCATTAGCTTTCCAAATAACTTCTTTCCTTAAGAACCAAATTAGCGCATTTGTTTTCGTTAACAAAGTACATATTTTCTTCTACTATTCTTGTTTATTTTTAAAATAAGAATTAGGAAGTGCACAAAAATTGAGTATTTAAGTCTTTACGGGTTCCAACTTCCAAGTGTTGTTAGGAAATATGGCAGGACTTGAGCCTGTGGTATTGTGTACCCAAAACAAATGCGCTACCTTCTACCAACATCCCTTCCAACTCAACTAGTCGTCTTAATTTCCATATACAATAGGTCAGTTAACACATCCGTTCTGTTTTAATCTTCTTACATCATCACGATCTCTAATATGATTGACATATCTTTATTTCCGTTATGATATAACTTATGAAAATTTAATAGTTAAATATCTTAAAACAATTCTAACAAGATCACACGTGATTTTTTTTATTTGAATATATTTTTTTGGTTCAACCCCATAAATAGTGAGTAAAGTTAAAAATAGAGCGGAGGTAATAACCAAAAGCGTATGTATTATGTACCTCTCTAGTTCAATAGTACTATAGGTACGAGACCTCATCCCCCCAAAACCTAATGAGCTATGCCACCCCCAAAATACCACCCAATAAACACTCAATCATGCCATACCAGCCAAAAATACAACACTAAACAACACAACAATATCCATTAAATCTCACATCCGCATATTGAATTTTGCATTAAAAAAATGGTGCATATTGAAAAGAAACTTTTACGGAGGTAGAAATTTACACTAGAAGAGAACCTCAAACAAGGATATGAAGGTTAGATGCGTGTATGTATTCAAGTGTTGACGCATCAAAGCTAATTAAGTTGGATTATCTAACAAGAATGGGGAAGAGAGAAAATAGCCCAGGAGGTGAAAAACTTTGCGGTGAGGGAGGTGGTGCATATGTTGGTTGGACACCTCGAAAGGAGGTGGTCTAGTTAACGCTAAGACTTAACTTAAGGAAGTACATTTACCAAATAACCCCTAGCAGCTCACTCAAAAGTACATTCTACCCCTTGATCATGGTTATAAACTTGGATTTCCTCTTCATTTAAGGCAAACTTTTGCCTCCTACTTCATTTTTCCTGCTACTAACATGCAACCTGCTTTAGAACCCAATTGGGTCCGCCAATAACCTGTGCATCAAATCTATTGTTACCACCTCTATCAAATTATACCAAAAATCAAGTAAAAGGAAAACAACAAAATAATTGGAACTCAACATCCCAAATCTTATTCACAATCAAATTTGATTATTCATCCCATGAATCTGTCCCTAGAAATATAATTTTTGAACATAAAACACCTTAACTTGCCCAAACTTAAATTAATCACAATAAATAAATATATATATATATATATATATATATATATATATATATATATAAAGAATACATATACTTTTACTCGTCTCATGAATCTGACATCAAATATAGATAAAGATACTTACACTATGTCACTAAAAAATGACAAGAGTTTCAACATATTCTTAAAAAAGCCCAAATAACATAGTCCAACACCCCTCAAAAAGTAGACCCTCATATCAACTTCAAAAACAAAACCATCACCTTTTATACATAATATAAAGATCAACAACTCGCATTAAATTCCAAAAATGAGGCCTTCAGCAAGTATATTGCTGTCACCATTATAGAAACTACTACAAAGAACATCATCTGCCACAATTTACAAAGTTTTCACCAAGGAAGTTTCTCCATAACTCATAATATCTTTAATGCCAAACATCCTCCTCAAAATCTACATTATCACAAACCTACCTAACCTTGAAAATAGATCTCACAATGAGAATCTAAACAAAAACTAATAGTATATCTTTAACACTTGCACCACTTCAAATTCCATCCATGAGAAATGTATTCTGAATTCCTATCGAAGACGATATCCATCCAGCCAAATTCATCACTTTCTAGTCAACAACACTCATTTCTAGCCAAGTATACCAAAATACTTAGAACTCAACATTCCAAACTCCCTCAAACCTTATATTGATCCAAGAGAGAAATTCCATCCAAGAGAGAAATGTATTCCAAAGTCCTATCGAAGACAATATCCATCCAGCCAGTTCATCACTTTCTAGTCTTAAATAATCCCTTGTACTACGTAATAATATTGTTCTTAACACAATTTACCATCCTCTATTCAACAACACTCATTTTTAGCCAAGTATACCAAATAGACAAAAAAAACACCAAAATACTTAGAACTCAACATCCCAAACTCCCTCAAACCTTATTTGATCACAGCAATACATCAAGACATGCACCTCACAATCCAATTAAAAAAAACAAATGCATAATTTGTGTCCTTGGAAATTTGATGATGTAACGTGGAGCAGCATCACAAACCCTAACTTATACTAAGTAGATCAATCAGAATTCACAATTCTAAAATGCCCGCATAATAGACTAACAACACTCAAAAACTATACCTGCATATCAACATCACAAAGCACAGCCTAAAAAAACACTCTTAAGCATGATAGCACATTAACACTTCTAATAAATACTGAACAGCGCTGCAAAAAGCTTACATCACTTTAAATATACTCCAAACCAAAAACACGACAATAACCATCCAGCCAATTTTTCATTATCTAATCCAAAAATTCTATATAAAGAATGGGGCTAATACACCGAACAAATGTTTCTTTTGGCTAATGAGGTACCATCATAATTATTCTTTTCTTCTTAACACAATTTCCCATCCTCAAGTCGGTAAAGGAGGATGTAATTTTGTGCAAGAAGGCTGCCGTGACTGGGGGAGTCACTATTCAAGCGGGACCAAAGATGGAGGTTCCCCAGCCACAGAAGTACCATGGGAAGCGTGATGCTCGTGAGATCGACAACTTCCTATGGGGCGTTGAAAGGTACTTCGACGCTATGCATTTGGAGGACGATGCTTCCAAGATAAAAAACGCCATAATGTATCTTGGGGAAGATGTTATACTTTGGTGGAGGCGACGAGAGTTGG